GAGCCTCCATTCTACAGTTTGCCCCCCTTTAGCCACACAGCACTGTAGAGTGGACGCACTTGAGAATGCAATCCAAGATGGAAAAAGACCAACGCGCCTGTCAGTGAGGGTACGACAAGCATTAGTCCATCCCGACCTTACCCCCACTCACCAAATTTCGAAGAGAAATCGATGGCGCAGCCGAGGACTGTCGAAAGCGTTGGGGTAGCAGGAGGCTGGGTGGGGATTCAACAACTTTCGACAGGAGGTGCGGTGTCGAGAAACATTCTCTGACAACTGGCGAATTTTCTTTCTCCGACTTCGACAGCCTGCGTGGCGAAGAGAAACTATCAAAAATCGCATTTTCGACAGTGGTGTGGCGAGGCCCTAATGGAGTGAGACCCAAAGTCGCGCCTTTCCTTGCGACCACCACTACCTTTCACAGGCAAACTCAAAACACCAATTTTCCACAATCCGCATTGCATTTCTTCCCGTGAACAGTGCTGCGAGACCAAAATGGCTGGCGGCGCATTGCCAAGCCTAGAAAAGAGAAATGTTGAGTTGGCACTTCGGGAAAGCTTGGCGCAGAGTTGGTTTCTTTTTTTTTCTTTTTTTTTTGGCGGAGTTGGTTTCTGCCTGGACACTCAGTTGGTAAGGCACGCAAGTGGCATTCAGGAGGTCGTAGGTACAATCCCCATTGGCCTCATGTACCTTCCTGGGCATGCTTGGCGCCCGCCACCTAGAGATTGACCACTGGATCCCCCGATCGGCATTGAACAGAGTCTGCTGATGTTCGTAGGGGAGGGGACCACCACCTGAGGGGAGGCACAGGGATTGGTCCTGTTGGCATGGTCCTTGATGCTATCGGTTGTCCCCTAGCCGGTATCGCCCACCTGCAGGTCAGGAGCAGCCCCCGCATGTTCTCTCGTGAACACGGTTCTGGCTGCGACGGGGTTCCCCATATGTCTACAATTAGGAGTAGTGGTAGGTAGGTAGTGTGAGGTGAAATTGGGAGAAGAACATAGCTTTTTCTAAAAAAAAAGAAAAAAAAGAGGTTCAGAGGTAGTGGAGGTTTCCTATCATCCTCTTTTGTGGTTTCTTGGTGTTTTTTGATGATGAAGCAGCAATATACTTTTTCTTTTTTCTTTTTTGGGAACATGCTCCAATCTATTAATGCGGAGGGGCACGTGCTGGGAACCGGGCCCAGCTTCCCATCCTTGAGATACCGCGGCCATTACCCAGCTTCGGCTAAGAAAGACAACTGTGTAATCTACACAAGAACACTAAAATTCACATCCATACACAAAGACACGTTGTAGACAGCAAAATTGCTGTGGCGTCACAGCAACGAGTCAAAACAAATTGTGAAGGAGCATCTTCTTTTCTCTGTTTCTTCCCTTTTTGGTGGCGGTGAGCGAGCCACCTGGACTGTGCACTAGCCCTGCGGATGACTCAAGTCTATTGATGGAGAGCAGCGGCAGCTGAAACTGGGTGCTACCGTCTCCACCCAAATAGAACGTCCAGTCATTATAGCCGTATCTGGACTGAAAATTGCACCAAATACGGCTATAATGACCAGGCGTTCTATTCGGCTGAAGACCGTAGGTGGAAAACAGTTCCAGGCACACTGGCAGTCACTGTGGCAGCTGATTTTTTTTTTTTTTTTTTTTTTTTGGCAGCTGAGTAATCTCAAGGACCCTGATCAGGAGGGAGATCCCACTACGCACCTGAGTGGAGTAGCAGACACGGTGTGTGACTCCAATGCACCGCGGATCGGGACGGCAATCAGCGGTGTGTTTTTTTTCATATTTAAGGGGATGGGTATGTATGTATTTCCGTGGCACCCTATTGGTCGGGCTTGCTTCTTTTTTTGTTTTGAAGGTCCTAGAGGGGTCCCCGATGTGAGTGAAAATCATGACGGTTTTTTTCGTTCTGATTTTCACGTAACTTCCACTTACCTTTTGGAGGGCGCCCTCGCAGGAAAGAAAGGCCAACAGCTAAAAGTTTCGGCCTTTGCTATTATGACAGGATGTCAGTTCGTGTCAGACTGTGTGCGAATGCTGAAGCAGCGGTGCTTATTGGTCGGCTGGGGCACCCGTCACTGGAACGCCCTTGGTTACCACGATTTTTTTAAAGTTTTATGTTCACGGAAAGGATGCCACACGATGTCGCCCGCACGTCGCGCACCCGTCACACTACACCACATACGGTTACCTGGGTAGTGGGATCTCCCTCCAGGGCTTGGCTGCCATGCTTGACCAACCCATCTTCTCCCAGACCTATTTCTACTGGAGACCTGACTCAGAGACCCAACCATTGGTTCCCATAGGACACTAAAACAACCTTCCCAGCACTACTTGTCCCCTTGGAATTAAAAAATGCACCAATAGATAGCACTAGCGGTTAATGGAAGGCAAAAAGTTCGGTTTTTTTTGCCGCGTCGCAAGAAGCAATGTTGTCGAAACTTTTGCGAACAAACTATGCAGGGTCATAATACAAACATCAAAAAACCAATAAGGCAAAACAAAAACGAAAAAATCAAAATCAAGAGTACTATAAAACCCTTTTCGGAGTAGCTTTCGGAGTTTGCCAAAGCTTTTTTTGAGTTTGGTGTTTTTGCTAAGTTTTTTGCTACTGCTCCACCAAATAGGGCAAAACTGAATACAGATATACCCTAAAGCACATACATAACAGGTAAAAAGAAAAACCGAGAAAAAAGTTAAAATTCAGGGAAATATGGCAGTTTCGGTGAAACATTTGCTGTTCGCAAAAGTTTCGACAACATTGCTTCTAGCGACGTGGCAAAAAACCCCGAATGTTTTGCCTTCCATTAACCGCTAGTGCAAATTCTAATAAGAATCTGAAGATGATGCTCAGCCAAATGTTGCTTGTTTTGTGCTGTTGCATCACATAGTTTGTTTTCGGATTTTTTTGATGACTTTTTTTTTTTTTTTTTTTTTTTTTYTAGGTTGTTGGATCGGACGTCCGGGACCCCCCTGACCGTCTGGGATGTCTGACTGGACGTCTGGTCGGACTTCCGACTGGACAGGGGTTGTCCGACCTAGCGCAAAAAAAAAAAAAAAAAAAAAAAAAAAGATCTCAGAAAAATCTGGAAAAAATATATGTTATGTTACATAACAATACAAGCAACTTTTGCCTTGGAGTCATGTTCAAATTTTCAGTCAATCATTAGTTAAAAATCGAAAACCGAGAAAAAAATATATTTTTTTTTTACGATTTTTTTTTTTTTTTTTCCCCGGACAACGGGGGTACCGGACGTATGGGGGAGACGTCCGGGGTAGACGACCGGCCCCCAGACCATTGGTAACCTAGTTTTTTTTGCTTTTTCGAAGTTTTTCGTACAGGGGCGTACAAGACGTACAGGTTTCCGTACAATTGATATGATATAGTTGATATGATGCAAATAAAAGACAGTCGAAATCCAAGTCAAATCCTCTCAACTTGAATAGACAAAAAACGAATCAGTTCAAACGAATTTCGAACAGATACACCTGCCGGTGTCTCATCAGGGGGATTCCACCATACTTCGTCCCTCATCGTCATCAACAATACACTAACCCACTCCCGTTCCCATTTCGCAACAACGAGTGTAGATGTTCCATGGGTCCGTTAGAACCGGAAAGGGAGTCCAAACTGATTGTACATCCTATATATGTCTACACCTATTGCTGATAGAACACAAAATGCGAAAAAAACAATAGTCCTGATGACTACTGCGACGGGTCCACCTCGCTCGGTACACCCGTGCCATTGGTCCTTGTCCGACACAGGACCCGGGTCCACAGTCAAAGGTCGGCCCCACCAGACAGTTCAAGGAGTCGGTACTGGTTCACCTCAAAACCAAGGCCTATACTGGGCTGTTCGGTCAGCCGAAAAAGTACCAGACACACCCTATACTGCCATTGGCAGAGCCATGGCACCCCACTGCGCCGCCATCGCCTGCCACGTGGCGAATCCTAGTGTTTATACCACAGGGAAATGACCCCCCGGGTAGCTTAGCAAGAATCGAAATCTTATAGGCCTGCCACGTGGCCACCCCAATTTGAACGCAAAAATCCGTCCGAGCGGCACCGCAGGCACGTATNCCCCCGGGTAGCTTAGCAAGAATCGAAATCTTATAGGCCTGCCACGTGGCCACCCCAATTTGAACGCAAAAATCCGTCCGAGCGGCACCGCAGGCACGTATRTTTAACTAGTRAACARCATTSATYACCCTCAATAGAGGGGATTRACTGCCCACCCAAGCATGAATTCATACCCTGCCCTGAATTGCTCATCCACCACCCAAAAAGCATACAGCACCATGAGCAGAAGGGGCAATCAGAGCAGGCCTCCCTAAAAGCTAAAACCTAATAGCCAGTGGTGGAACCCAAATGAACCACACACATAAAACTCTGTAGCGCCGCTTCCTCCGGCACTGCCTTCCCCGCCACCTGCCAAGAAACCAGACATCACGTTTGCAGGCCCTAACAAGTCATACACTGTTGGCACGTGGCCAACCATTCAAACAGAGCTCTCGCCCTCCCCGCTGGTCGTCAACACGATTGCAAAGGAGAGAGGACACCGGGGACGAGAAGGGAACAGATGTGGCAAAACAATCCAATATCTATCCCACCCCCTAGCGCTCCCATCCCACCCCTAGCTCTTTTTTTTTTGTCTTAAAAAAAAATAAAAAATAAAAAAATCCGGTGGCTGCTAGGGGTGCCGCTATCAACAGACACCTCTAGCACCCCCGGGAAGTCTCCATCTATTGGTGGGGTCTCTCCCCCATACCCATCCAATATGTTGAACGAACCATTCAAACAGCCCTCTCGCCCTCCCCCCGGGTCGTCGACACAATCGCAAAGGAGAATGGACAGTCGAAGAGAGAAGGGGAAACCATCATTGTTGGTATCATTGATGTTATTTTTGTTGTTGCTGTTGTTGTTATCATTGTTATTGCAATCTGGCGTGCACGAACTCACAATTTCCACGCTTATATCTGTGTCATGCGCAACAGTCGCGGTGTTGCACGCGCCCATGATCTCTGCTTCGTGGTTGCCGTTGGTGTTGTTGTTGTTATTGTTGTTGTCATCGTTGTTGCCGCTATTGTCGCGTGTTGTCATTGTTGTTGTCGCCATTGTCGCGTGCGCCCATGCTCACAATCCCCATGTTTGCTCCACAAGCCTGCACGCTTTGGTTGTTGTTGTTGACGTGTTTGTCAATAGCAAGGACGTCATCCACACAAGCTCGGCCCTCCTCAAGCTCGTCACAGGTGATGATGCTCGCATCAGTGTTATCCTCATCTTTCGTCTCTAAGTGCAGGTACCACTCCTCCTCCAGCGCTGCGTACACATCCTGCCCCTCCTCGAAGATGTCATAGCAGCACCGCTTCAGAGTCTCCTCCTGATGACCATCTATGAGACCATCCTCCAGCTCCCCGACGACCTGCAACATATTCGTCATCCCTTCCTAAAACGGCGGGTTCGATGAAGCTGGCCCCCCACCAACTTCGAATCGAGCTCCCAATTGTGATCGCAGTTCATCCACCATCACCTGTAAGCGATATCGAATAGATGAGAGCCACTGGGCGGCTCCTCACTGCTTATCTCGCATTGAAGCCATCTGCACCTTTGAACCGCCTCGAAATCCGCGCCGACGAACTCCCACGCTTCCCTGCCAATCCCAGATCTAACGGGGCTGCCACGTCAGCGTCGCCGCGGACGTGGGGCAAGACACGTGGCTCAAGCTGCCCCTCATCAACCTACGCGGGCGCCCGATCGCGTGGAGGGCAGCCGGGCCCTGCCGGCTGCGACCACGCGGAGTGTTAGCGCTTGTCAGCGGTGCATTGGTCTCGGTGCTCTTGACTTTGCACATTTGGTGACATTCTCGTTTCGCACCAGTTAGGGTAGCAGTAGGAAATTCAGTTAGCGCTGGGCATGTTTTTTCCCAAATTTGTAGATATGTCCCTCACGAATCTCCACTACATGTAGGTTTGAGACTCTCGGTTAGCCCTCAACCAAACAAAATTACGAATCTACCCTACCTACGGTACAGCCTCGACAGAGAGAGGCTACAGGCGACCAGAAAATAGCAAGTCATTGCACTGTTGGGTTACAGGGCAACACGCCTCACCCCAGCTCCGACCAGCATCGTCCCAGCAGCAACCCTTGGTTGTCCCTTGGAATGCCCACCCCAAAGCATTCCCATATCTCTCGACCAGGCCTTACACTCCTGCATCAATAGGTTACAGGGCAACACCCCAGTACCGGCCAACGTCTTTCTGGCATCGAACATCCGCAGATCACTAAGTATAACAGCAATGGGCCCCCCTAAAATGAGTTGCTAGAAGTCCTCAGAATCACAAACCATTTGTAATACCACCACCGACAACCATGAACTGTGATGAACAAACCTTTTTTTGAGAAAAATTGAGAGGACCTGGGAACATCCTTTGATGGTCATGAAATGGATATTAATGAAAACTTACTTCTGAATCAGCAATATTCCCCCAAAAGAAGGAAAAGTCAAATAAATTAATGAAATAATTATTTTGAAAAACCTATAACCCCTGAAACAGACAAACAAACAAGACAAGCAGAACAATCCTGCCTCCATCATCGAAGGGAAGAACCTCAGGCTGATCCACGTGGAGTTAGCGGCCAGTGGCTGGTACCCGCCGAGATACTCAGCGCCAATCGCATCCACCACCAACTCCTCCATTTGAAGCACATCCATCCTCCCCAACTCCGTCCTCGTAAAGAACTCCAGAGAACCTCATCTCGGCAGGGACTAAGCACCATCATCACCCTGAAATGTTTTGCCCCCACAAGAATTTCAGTCTTCATCCTCAAGGAGGTGAAACAACACTACCACCCAACGCTAATTGCGCCAGAGTTCGCCCGCATCAGCCAGTACCCATCAGACAGCCTAAACTACCCCACGCCAATCGCATCTAATAAGAGACTCCCCGTAGCCGGTACCCATCCCGCAGCCCTATTCCATCCCCCTCTCCGTCCTTGCAAAGAATCATGTCATGCCCTTTGCCCCTTACTTCAAAGCAGGTCCCCAAAAACTCCACAAGATGCTCCACTTGACTATCCGTTTTTATCAAGAAATAAAAGGATTAAGAAAACCATATACACGTTTCAGCGCCTACTATTCCCACCAGAAGAGGGGAAGGGAGGGAAAAAAACCACCCTCTCTCCCCATAGAAACGCCAGCACCTATTCAAATCTCGGTTGCATGTACAAGGCTCACAAGAACCAAACGGATTACTCCTCTCCCCCAAAAAACGACCTCCTGTCTGATCACTGCCTCCGCGGGGAGGCGCCCCCTCACCTCCCAACCCTAGTTCAGAACAACCCCCTAAATACCAATCCTGCTCCCTCAGCTGCATACAGTAACCCCTAAAGTATGCCCCGCAGAGCAGAAGATCCTCCTTCCCTTCTGCCCCACCCCCTCCAAGTGAAACAGCCCTTCAACATCTCACCATGCTGGCATCAGCMCCCCTTGTCCTCTCTCCCCAACCGCCATAGCTGATCCGACCCAAAAAGCAGTGTGGCCCAGAAAGGGACAAACCCTCAATACCGCCCCTCCCTCTCAAAGATCACAACCCCCACCCTGTGTAACCCTTGCAGGGAGGGGCTCCAGCCCTTAATGAGATAATTCCATTCAGCACCTATGACCCACATCACAAACGGAGACTTAATTATGACATGTTCCTTTAGAATCCCAAAACCATAGAAGATTCAATAGCCAAAAACAGATAGGGGCAATTTCCAGCAACAGATGGAACACTTTTGGAGTTACCGGTACATAGAGTAGGAAACACGAAAAAGATACGGTCAAAAGTAAGGGCCATGCATAGGAATGGCTATTTGGACATCAGAACTAAGTCCAATTTTTAAAACTTTACCCAATTAGGAGGACACTCCTTAAGAATGACAAGTTAGACATCTGAATTAAATTCTGATTTTCGACCCTCAACATCACAAAATCAAACTAAGAATTGGATATCAGGTTCACAAATTAGGTAACATAGAGTTGGAAATGCATCTCAAGCTAAGACGAACCATCTTCCAAATCGGATTAGAAGTCATCTTTAGTGATAAGAGCAATCGGTTTACGCACCTCAGTCCAAGAATATTGCTCAGATCAGGATCTATCAGTTAGAGAATACAGAATCAGGGGTTACTGTTTTGAAGGTTAAGATAAGGAACACAAAGGCTAGAATTAATCCATCGGAGATATCAGATTATGAATTGAAATCCAAAACGCAGACAATCTAACGACGAACTAAGAATCTATGAGTCAATGAGTCAGCAGCCCAGCCTGTCTCCCTCAACAGGACGAGAGGTTGGCATCAACAGGGTGAGAAGTTGGCATCGGAACTCCCTCTTGATGTCTCTTAAGCTTGAGGTTACAGCCGCCATACGAGCATCTTCAACTAACCGATTTCTCCTTCGCAGCCAAACCTCCCCCCTGACCCCGTTTCTACCCACCAGTGAGCCGTCACTCAGCCCACACCCCTCCTTTCCCAAAAAAGCCTAAGCGATGCCCAATTCTCCAGCGTCTGGCCAGGAAAATTAAATGGGGACAGGTCCCTCTCCAGGGATCCGCCGCGATACCGCCAGCAGAGCCTGTCCACCGACCATCGCGCATAGCCAAGTAGCTCCATCCCCCCAAACTTTCCACCAAGTAGCCCCAAGTCAGGGTGGCATCTCCATCCACTTACGCCCCATAGGATGTCTGTTAAAAACTCTCTTCTCGCCCGGGGCCCTCAATCGCACAATCCCCACGGTTACTCTGAAACAACAAAAAACACATGACGTCACAGCCCCTCAGTCCTTCGCGCCGCCACGCCGCAAAAGCAGAACAACTGTATTTGACACTAACTCTATCCGAATTCGCCCGCCATCCCATTTAAAGAGGAAATACACACGACAGCTGGCAAACTTGCCAAGTGAGGAAAGCTCAGAATACGCACCATAGACCTGCCTCTGTACTTACCATCGTGGCACCACCAGCATCAGCTCCATCCAGATTCGCCCGTCGCCCGTTTGACACAAAGAATGCACACGCAAAAAATGGTGTCTAGTCCCCTCCGAATTCGCCCACCATCGCCATCTGATGCGAAGCCAGAGGAGTGCAAGCTCATGCGCCAGCGCCCGCCATCACCATTCAATGTGAAGCCAGAGGGCGCGCCAAGTCGGGAAAGCACTAGAACGCTCATGCGCCGGCGGCTCAGCGCCCCCTCCTCCTGTTGTCGCCTCTCGATACTGATAGGGTGATAGTCCTGAGTGCTGGTCACACTGAGGTAGGATAGTATGGATAGGGGATGCGCTAGGAGTGTTGCTGCGAGGATGGGATGGGAGGTGGCCTCGTCTCCTCAGGGCGACCACGGCTGACCGCTTCCGGTGATCAATGTGTGCCTGGTAAGTGGCCTCTACAACACCCTCGACTTCAAACAAACAAACAAAAAAAAAAAATAAAAAAAAATTAGGGTGGTCCGTGGATTCAAATCCTGCTGCCCAAAAGCTTTGCTCCGGCTGCTCGTGAGATTTGAAAAGCTGCAGGTGTATCGTTGTGGTCAGAATTCCAAGCCAAGTGTTTTTGCATAGTACAATATTAAAATGGGATTTGTCCTCTGGACGGATTCAAACTCATGATCTGGCCATTAAGAGTTATATCGACGTTACTGTAGTACATCATTGTGTGAAGTCGCGAACCATAACCATATTTCACGTGCGTCGAATGATCATTGACAACGGAAACTTTTACTCCAATGGCATGTGTTGCATATTGATACACTGACTGTATAGGTGATCTTACACTTCTGCGGAAAGGTCCCACTCGCAAGGACGATTGGATTGAACGCCTGAATGTGGAGTCGGTCGTGTTTTTGGAGACGTGAAGAAAATCAGGACTGATCTGCTTTTCCGCATCTGTAAATGAAACACATCCAAATCCTCTTTGCCAATGGGACCTCAACCCTGCTCCTCCTTTTTTTTTTTTGATTAAAAGTAGCCTTGAAAGTTTCGCCAAAAGTTTTTTGACTAAATAAAACAAAACCCACAAAACTGAAGGCTACTAGAATTTCTTCATTGTAAATATAAAATTTGTTCTGAAACTTCAGTGGAGGAACCCCTGCTCTCATGCTTATTACCTCCTTCCCCCAAATACAACGTACGGTCATTATAGCTGTATTTAGGGCATCTTTCAGTCTAGATACAGCTATAATGACCCTATGTTGTTTGTATTCGGGGGAAGAAGGTAGGTCGGTGTTTGCACTCCAGTCCTCTTGGGTGCTTCAAACTGCTAACACAAACTGGAAGGAAAAGTCGCCTCCGACATCACAATCTTACCCCCCCAAAAAAAAGAAAAAGGGGTTCAACTTGCGAGGAAAGAGTAGGTAATTCAGATTAAAAAAAAAAAAAAAAAAAAAAAAAAAAAAAGGTAAAGGCCTGGACCGCACAGAAATGCAGATAGGGGTAACTAGGGCGCAGTCACCAATTCAGTTTTAAATCCAGTTCAGGCATCCCTCGAAC